GGTGAAGGAGACGGGGATCCATACTGAATCATACACGAGATTATTTCCCTCACGATAGGCCCAGCCCGAGTTGATAGAGGAGCCTGGGCATATTCACAATCCAGTCGGATTCTGATGGATCACGTCAGCAGAAAAGATACAATTGAAGTCCGCGTGGCTTCGACTTGAACCAGGGGACAATACTGACAAGGTTTAGAACCGGCACGATCAGACGATCAAACAAGATCAGTAGTTTTGTTGATACACAATCCCCTTGTTATCGACGATTCTTCTTTTTGTAAGGCAATGGACATCATTGACCGATCGTCTTGGGAACAGATCGAAGGGGGAACTTTCGGTGGAGTCGATTCTGTAATCACGGGTGCTCTTCTGGAACTCGTGGAGGATTTACCTCGTACCGGATGAGTAGCTTTCTTAATAAAACATGTGGCATGGTCCAAAAGCTAGATAAGTTTCGTGTCAGACTGTACTGTCTTTGTAGGAGCTCGGGTTCCACATGCTGGTCTTGGCTTCGCTCTGTGTGCTCTAATCACATATAGTCGATCTGAAGCCAGCCAGTAACAAGAGAATGCCTTGAAACTCAGAACGAGCACACACTCAGAGTTTTCACGTGAGCATGAACAAAGATCTAACGAAAAGCTGTCATCTTCATTCGTTGACATTTCAGGTGTGATGAGAGAGGAGGCAAAGAGGACTCCTATCGAATTCCCAGTCTACTCACGATCTAAGATCCGCAATGCATGAGAGTCAGTCAAGAGGACGAAGGAAAATTATCAAGGGTCATTCTCATCCCAAAACACTTGATTTCGCATACTCTATCTCGGAAGAGCGGTTTATCAGAAAATTGTTTTATGAATCATAATAAATGAGGTGCCACGTTTTGTTTACAGCCTCAGTTTTCAAATGTGGACCTGTTTGTTTCATCCAGGGTTGAACTCTAGACAAGGATTTTGCTCTTGAACGCCCTCAAGTCGGTGAAATATGAAGTTCAAGGTTCTTCTTCTCTTGTAGACCCTGGAGACTCTTGAGCAAGAAGATTATACTTACAAAGAAATCGGACAAGCCGATTTCTAGGAGTACAAGGCAATGGTAGAACATCTCAGATCACGAGACGTGCCAAGCAATTTCTTTCTAGCCTGTTTCCTAGCCGAGACACTCTGGACCAGTCCGCCAGTCCAGCTCTATCGTAGTCTGTTATTTAGAACTACAGCACAGCAGTTGAGTATGTACTGCAAAGGAGCTTTCGAGACGACGTCTTGGGAGCTCGTCTTATTGCTTGTAGAGATGGACGTATACCTGCCAAATCGCTGGGGCTTCACTCGGAGAATACAGAAGGACAGGAATTCCGCTCGACATAGTAAGTGATCTCCTGCAGGGGGTTCGTCTGACAATTGATGGTGACTTGACCTTCGACAACTTCGCCGTCATTGGCGCCTGCAGTGACGCATTGGGCCAGAACTCGATTCAGATATTCACCCGCTACGTTGCAGGGAACAACTGCTCCCCAGGAGCACATCCTGATCTGGGCGGTACCTCGACAGAGGATGTCTGCACAATTCCAAGGGCCCCAAAATCGAGGAGAACAGAGATCTGCCCCAGGAAGAGCTTTGTCCGTGAGAACACGGGTGATATCCACGCTCACGTCGCGCTCACGTCCGATTTAGAAGCACCGTTCTCGTTTGCGTTGCACAGGACAACCACGTCCTCGTGTCCCGACTCGACCGCCGTGAGAGCGAGCATGACGAGCATGCTAGCAAACACTGTAAACACCATCTTTGTAGCCATTGGTAGATTCCTGTTCGAGAAACGCAAGCATGCAAAGGTTCAGCAATATTGGCCTGAGCCCAGGTCTATGTAACCATATTCGAAGTAACTGGTCACAGATTTCTAGCAATCTGAGCCAGCAGAGCTATGAAAACCCTCGTTGCCAAGACAGAACGGAATGTGCCACTGTAAACGAGAGACAGATCTTATCTCATGATAGTACTGATGATAATGAACGCTCCTTTTCATACGATATGCGAGAGTGAAGCTTAGAAGGTTTTTTTCGAAGTTGCTTCGAAAAAACCAGAGTAACAGGAAGCTGCAGTCGCTTGTAGTCCAATCCAGTCTTCGTTTGTCTGCAGGAATCCCAGAAACTCCCAAACGGAAGAGAGAGCTTGGACTGATGATTGAAGACTCTCGAAGAACTGCTTATCATACAATACAAATTTCCGGATTCGTGGTGTAACTTGAACAGATCTATTTTCTACATTTATTAACTTACTATTCGATGTTTCGAACTAACTAACACCCTTTGCTATTGATGCCTCAAGATGCCTTGGTTTTTTTAAAAAAAGGCTTGGGAAGATTCCTTGACTACCTACTGTCCCTGGTGTTTAGACTACTCAGCTCTAGTAATCCAGTAATTTGACAGTGGAATTTTATTGATCCATGTCGAGAGGATTCAAAGATGACCACTTTGATAGGGAAAAATTAGTGCACATTGTAGAATGTTTAAGCTTCTCGGTTTTGCCCATTTTAAGCGGAATCTACTACTTAAAGGTCTGCATTGAAACGTTGAACATATATCATTCTCCATGTATGATATTTTTATAGTACTATATTGGAAGCTTGCATTCCTTACCTTGTTTTCAAATCCTCGAATGAATTTTTGTTTAAGTTGTACGAAGGATTAACATTTATATGCATGTAAGGCATCTTCCTCAAGATAGAATCTTGAAAATTTGTAGAAAGGTCGCCGGCAATACAAAAACCATAATATTGTATATTTCACCTTATGTCACTTATGCCACACGCACTGAACGTTGTAATCAAGCCCGATTCACTTAAGTGGAGAATAGAACTTCCATCCATCTTCTTATTCTCTTCGAGTATATCCTTGAGTCATGTGCTCATTTGCCACGACACAGCATTCCACAGCATTCCACACCACATTGATTATGCTTATGTACCATCTTTCTCAAACTCATTGACAACTGCATTGTTTAGCCTGTCGGCGCCGTAACGAGCATCTGTCTCGAAGAAACGAACAAAACGATTCTAACATGCCTGAGAGCCCATAGACTTACAGACGTCGGGTTCATACATGGCACCATATTGGCTTCTCTCACCAATTGTGCTATTTCACAATGTATATGTGTCAGCACAATCAAGAAAGCATGATCGACAATGGAAATCCACTTACAGTCAGTTCACATTCCATTCAATCTGTTTCGAATCAACAACTCAATAACACTCATCTGTCCATTATTTTAATGCTTCAGCCAAAGAATTTATACTTCTCATTTTATCATCAGTTTCTATCTGGATCATCGACTTCCGATTTCGGGTGGGGTCCTCTGGAGACTTCAAAGATCTACTCAACAGGTCTCAGATCTGAGAAACATCGAATGCATTCAGTTTCAGGAATGCACAAGATCAACGTGACTTGATGCATCATTGAGCATGGTAGGATGGGTACAACACCCCATTCTGCGGCATATGATCCTCAGGATGCTAACTGCTACTGATCGTCGGTAGCAGTTGGTTTAATGTTTTTTTTGTTGCCTCTGGTCCCACAGCTTTTAGTGGTCACATGCAGAGATAGACCGAAATGTGTCTTGAAACTTCTTTCTTCTGCTCATCTTTTGATGTATGTACCGATACGGAGCTTTTGCGCTCTTACTTGCACTTCTAGCACCCTATCGAGGCCTTGTGTCTCGACTAAAATGCTCAGTGTGAAGCTATCGATCAGATATTTGATATTGATAAGGAATCTGTATTCTGCGCTACGGTGTACTACATCCAAATGATGAATGGAGCAGAAACAGGAATCGTCAGGGGAGATTCATTGAAATAGTATCCATCAACATGAGATCTACCTGGATCAAATGCTTGCTTACACGAAGGCGAGATTATAGAAGCGATTCCATAATTTCGAACCCTGAACGTTGACATGATATGTCTAGCAACGAACTGTTTTCGTATATGGTGTTGAAATTGTCACCGGCGATCTAACAAGCAGTAAAAACATATCAAATAACGAAGTTCATAGTAGAGAAATGGAAATCGAAGTTCCTTGGTCAGAATCCATGGAAGCAGATAAGCTCGACCACTCCAGGCCCTTCAAAATGAAATTGCGAAAGAAGGTGACTATATACATCTCACCTGTCGACTCCAAAGCCAACCAGGAGTATACTCAGTATTTTCCTTAAAAGTGTGATGCTTTCACTCATACCTTAAAATCCAAAGCCTGCAAGTTGAGTATACCACCTTTACAATTGACCAAAACTGACGATACATGTGTTTGAAGGAAATTATAAGCTATGAAGAGATTACGTTTGAATCCGCACCATATTCCTTGCTGTGGATGAGTTGGGCAACGTGAATGAGACAAGAATTCCGGTCTACTTTGGCAGCGAATGAACAGGCGATACCACAATAATGGACGAGGATATTCATGAATATGTTATCTTTACAAAATTTTCGATGCATATCATACTAGCTAGCCAGAAGGCTCTTAACAGGCAGGACTTTGGGTGTTTTTTCGAAATTAAATTATGCAACTAGTTCTGAGCTCCATGTGATCGGTAACGGCGATCAGTATATAGGCGAAATTTAATCAAAGATCGGCGCGGAGGCCCGAAGTCTAAAAATTTGCTAACGCTTAGGAGTTCTCATAAGGTTCTCTTCAGACATGAATTCGTAAGAATTTGCTAACGCTTAGGAGTTCTCATAAGGTTCTCTTCAGACATGAATTCGTAAGATTCAACTTTCACTTTACTGAAAAATCCAAATGGAGGAATCTAAATATTGCCTGTAAGTGGTCAAAGAATCTTCCGAAGCTACTTGATTGGAACTTTGCCAGGGTGTGTGATAGATCAAAACGATAAATTCCAAAACACGAGCTTCAAAATAATAGTTAGTGTGGACATGGTTTAGTAAAGTACAAATTTAACTTTATTTGGAATCATATTTGCTGATACAGATGGTATTTATAGCAGTTCTCTCAATCATCAGCTCCAGCTTTCTCTTCACAGAATGATCTTTGTACAGAAGGGATAGAAGTTCCTCTGGAGATTTGGAGTCTCTGTTGTGATACGACGCTTGGATTTTCAACCAGTGAGTGAAGTGACCTACTGCCTCTGGATTCAAGTTGTTGCATGCTTCAATTCTCGCATATGTGGTCTATTTGTCGTCTGAATTTTTTTTGTTCAGATTCATCTTCAGCAGATCAGATCTGCATTACATTGAGCTCCACACTCTGATCTATCTTTGCAAACGGGAACACAGATTTCCGAAACGCGTCAGAGAAGACATAGCACTTGCCCCCCGGATTTTCTTCGATACATGTGACTACCTTCGTGATTTTGGTTTACAGCTCCCGGGCTCAGTCCATAACAGATGCCAATATTTGGTCTTATTCGTGCGTGTCTTGCTTTGAACAGGGTTCAACCAATGGCTACCAAAGTGATGTTTACAGTGTTTGTTAGCATGTTCGTCATGCTCGCTCTCACGGTGGTGGTCGTATCGGGAGAGGAGGACGTGCATGTGAGCTGTAACGCAAACGAGAACGGTGCCTCCAAAATGGACGCCAGCATTCTAGTCGATATCACCCGTGTTCTCACTGACGATGTTCTTCCTGAAGCTTATTTATGTGGTCCTCGACTTGCTGGCCCTATGAACTGTGCTGAGATTTACAGTCGAGGCACTGCTCAGATCAGGGTGTGCTCTAGGGGACATCATCTCCCCTGCAACGAAGCCGGTGAATACCTGAATCGAGTTCTGGCCCAATGTGTTACTGAGGGTGCCAATGGCCAAGATGTCGTCGAAGGTGAAGTCGCCATCAACAGGAATGATTTTCTCGAAGAAATCACTTATTATATCGAGAGGAAATCCTGTCCTTCTACCGCGGCCTTCTCTTCGTGAAATTGAGCGCTTTCTCCCTACCGGGTTTACTCCTTCGAGACTTTGTCTTCAAAGGTCCTTTCTAGTACATACTCAACTAATGTCTTCCTGTTTTCTATAGCAGACCAGAATAGTACAGACCGGTCCATAGTGTCTCGGCCGACAAGTATCCGATTCGGGTTTGCTTGAGCTAGTAGTATGAGATGTTTTTCAGCTGCCTTGTGTTTTTGGGACGACGCATCTCCCATCTCCTTTGTATGTTTACAATCTCATTAAGTACTTTATATTAAATCGAGTGTTTTTTTTGTTGGATTGAACGATGCATAAATATTCCTCTACAAAAAAAGTGATTAAAATTTTCCGTAGGTACTATTATACACAGAGACTGCGAGCTGACACTGTGGTTTTTGGACTAGTGCTGTAATCATGCATTCCTGTTTGATAAAACTAGAGTTTCAAGTCAAGTTCAATCCCCAATTTCCAATCAGTTCCGATAGTACTCCAAGAACCTTCACCCTTTGTAAGAGAACAAGAACCTCGATGTCCATGTGGAACTCACTTTAGATGTTCCAAGAGAGCTTCAAGCAAAAGCTTTGAAAGTCATAGCTTTCAACAACTACTAGCTCTTGAAAATCACATCACAAACGAAATGAGAAATCAGAAGATTGAAATGATCGACTTCAAATCTCCACATTTCGAGAGTTTAGTTCAATACCTTAAACCAACACGATTCCTGCTAAAGTGCACTTCAGATATGAGATGAGAGTAAGACGTGAAAAGTTTCCTGCGTCATCCTTTTGCCTGACTCTCATCCATCTGGGTCACAACTCTCTGACCAGAAGTTTGTCCAGCTCTTTTACAATGTCGGCACGCCACATATTTTATCCTAAATGCCTACTTTAGATGAAGGTAGATTCCTTAAAGCGTGCCAGTAGAGTACCCGAGCATGGCGAACCCGCTTCATGCACGCTCCTTGTTATAACTGCTACGCGATGAGAGCTATTTCCAAGACGATGATGCCAATCATATTCACACACCACGCGTTATGTTTGTGCGCTTGCTCCTGGTTGTCAGATCCTGTTCCCCCGTTGACTTTGGTCCCGGGGACTGCAGATGAATCTTGTCTGTTGCAAGCTTGTCTCACACATGACAATTTGTAAACGACTTACTCCTCAGCTTCTAAGGATTGTGGGGATCATTGCAACGTAACATCAGAAAGGTAACCATATATCATGTCTTGAAATACATATACATTACCACTGGCAACTATTAGTGCGTGATTGACAAAGAGTTCGCACCCAATACATTACATTGCAAGTCGGTTGTTGTTCAATCATATGCAGTTCTATGAGATTTCCAAGTCAATCCCCGCACCCTTCCACTTTCAGATTTTAGAAAATTGCCAATGGTCCACAGAACCTGCTTAACATACGAGTGTGCTCAAAGTGAGTCTCCTCTAAATTTTGGACCTGAAGTAAAGTGCAGAGCCAATGGTAAACGTTAACCACTCGCGAGTATTTGCCACAAGCCTCCGATAACCCGAAGATACTATATTCTACATCGTGGCTTTGTAAATATGGGACACCTGAGAGTTGCGGCACCAGTTGTACACGTCCTATAGGTTGTTGTTCAATCATATGCAGTTCTATGAGATTTCCAAGTCAATCCCCGCACCCTTCCACTTTCAGATTTTAGAAAATTGCCAATGGTCCACAGAACCTGCTTAACATACGAGTGTGCTCAAAGTGAGTCTCCTCTAAATTTTGGACCTGAAGTAAAGTGCAGAGCCAATGGTAAACGTTAACCACTCGCGAGTATTTGCCACAAGCCTCCGATAACCCGAAGATACTATATTCTACATCGTGGCTTTGTAAATATGGGACACCTGAGAGTTGCGGCACCAGTTGTACACGTCCTATAGGTTGAGGGAGTAACAATATCGGTGCAATCAGCAATTATATTTAAGAAGGTGGAACATATTTACGATCAGAGTATGTTTGCTTCTAAGCGTTTATCAACAAGCACAGACTTAGAATTACAGTGAGTTTACAATCAAGACAATCTGTTTTAAATCAACAATTATATAATAATCATCTGTACCTATATTAATCAATGCTTCAGCCGAAGATGTTCTACTTCTCATTTTATCCTGAAATATTATATGGAGCATAGACTGACGACAGGTGGGGTCCCCTCGATACTCTCCGAAGATCTACTCAACAGGTCTCGGATAGAATAAACATGGCATTGCATATTCTCTTCTCTTTCAGAAATGCACAAGATGAACGTGACTTGATGTAATCATTGAGCATGGTACGCTGGGTACTACGCCCCATTTTGCCCTGGATTTGTGATCCTTCGGATCTTACTGATTTTCAGTAGCAGGTAGCATCGTGGTTTTATCTATTTGTTGTCGCTTTTGGTTCCACTGGGCTCGAGCACCTGCCTTTCTCCATCAGGCCCTGTTGCTTTCGTAGTCAATGAAGGAAAACTAGTTTGTGCAGACATTTAAACTTGCAGCAGCTGTCAATAAATGTACATTACTTGACATCTACATTATGCCAAGTACGTGATTTGTACTTGAATTCTTCTATCATCCTCATTTAATGTTGATTTAACTCTTAAGCCAGTGAACTATGCAAATAATTTTGAGCTCCAGCTGATAGATTACAATGGAAAAATGTATGTATACCATATTGTACAATAACATATATAAAAATATAGTCTTATAAAATACTGCAGTTTGTATGAGATCCGTTCAGACATGAATTGTTACTTTGAACAGGAATCAAACAATGGAGACCAAAATAATGTTAACAATGTTTGGTGGCATGTTGGGCATGCTCGTTCTACGGTGGTAGTATCGGAGAGGATGATGTGTATGTCATCTGTAGAATGAATGGGAACGGTGTTTCTTAAACAGAGGCTAGCACTCTCGTCGATATGACGAAGCTCACCCGTGTTCTCACTGACGAAGCTCTTCCTCGAGCAATTCTCAGTGGTCCTCGATTCATCTAGCTCTTCTACATTGTCGGCGCGCCGCATACATTATCCAGAAAGCCTACTTCAGGTACGGTGATTTCTTCCCACATGCTATGACACAACCCAGCATACCAAACCCTTTTCATACATGCTGCCTGTTTTATATGCTAAGCGATCAGAGTTATTTCCGAGACAATGATGTCGATCATACCGAATGCCGTGGAAGTATTCACGTACACACCATGCGCTGTGTACATGCCTTTACTCTTGGTTGTCAGATCTTCTTCCCCGCTGACGTTGAAATCAAGCGGACTACATACGCATCTTCTCTGGTGCAAGGTTCTGTTACACCTGAGAATTTCGAACAAAGAGGTCGCAATCACTGCATTACATTTCGAGTCGGTTTAAGTTCAAGCAGATCCAGTTGCATGTCTAACGCGGGTGTTGACAATGGAGACTTGCATGTCCATTGCGAATACGTGTCTACGAAAAAGCAGATCATAACTACGAACTGAGAGAGTCCTGAGTTCCAAGTCAAACTTCACAAACTTCAACTCTGAGGTTCTTAAAAAATGCCAACGGTTCACGGAACCTGAATTGCACCGGACCTGCTCTTCACATACGACAGTGCTCAAAGTGACTCTCCTCTGAATTAGATCCTGAAGGGACATAAAAGTGCAAGGGTAAACGCTAAACACTCCTCGCCAATACCTGCCACAAGCTGCTGAGTCCTCCAATATACTGTATTCTGCCACGCGGCTGTGCAGATGTGAGACACCTGAAAGTTGAAGCACCAATTGTAAACATCCCAGATTTTGAAGCAGTAAACTTTTTAGTCCAATCAGCAATTTGATCTATAAAGGTGGAAACTACATTCGATCAGATCAGATTAATATATACATAAAAATCTATTAACAGGACAAACATAGACTTACAGTCAGTTCACAATCAATTTAATTTGTTTATAATCAACAATACAGTAAGGCTAATATGTGCGTTATTATATGCCTCAGCCGAAAATGTTCTACTTCTCATTTTATCATCAATTTCTGTCTGGAGCACAGAAAAATTGGTCTTCTGATTTCTGGATATTTCAAAGATCTATATACTAGGTCTCGGATCTAAGAACCATGGCATAACATATTCTATTCCGTTTCAGGAATGCACAAGAGGAACGTGACTTGATGTAATGATTGAGCATGGTACCCTGGGTACTACGCCCCACTTTGCCCCATGTGATCCTTAGGATCTTACTGATTCTCAGTAGCAGTTAGCATCTTTGTTGTATCTGTTTTTTGTCACTTTTGTTTCCACTGGGCTCGAGCACCGGCCTCTCTGCATCAGGCTCTGGTGCATACGTCATCACATGCATAGATACACTGATACGTGTCTTCCACTTCTGTCTTTAGCGGGGGTTGAGACTAGGGTTCCGATATGGAGCTTTGGCCGTCTTACTTGCAATCCTAATCTCCGTTCATTGTCCACCGGGCGGAAGCAGCCGAGTCTCCAGGACTTGTGTCTTCTTTGGCAGCAAAAGCACCCGCCACAGTACTATATTAATTTATGACATGAAAGTATTCATGAAATAGTTCTCTTCGCCATATATTCAATTCATACCACATCTGCCAGCCAGACAACTCGTAATTTGGAAGACTGAAGTTTTGAGTTCAATGTGACTAAGGTATTTTCACTCCATGTCGTCCGAAACTGGCGAAGGAAACCCTGAAGTGAATCTGAGAAAATGAGAGAAAGTTTGAGTAGAAGTTCAAACTTGCGACAGTTCTCAAATATGCATTAGTTGCAATATAAATTATGTTTTGTTCTATAATTCTTATGCCATCGTCATCTGATCTTGATGCATCTTTAAAGCGAGTGAAAATCACTCGCTTTAAAGTATCTATGAGTTCCATCTGATAGATTACAACGCACAAAATGTAAGCCAAATATGAACCCTAAAGATTGCTACCATCTGGAGTTCTCATAAAATCCCTTCACAATTGATTTGTTATGACTCAACTGTCATTTTACTTGGAAGTCAAAGCGGAGGAATCTTATTATCACAGGTAGGTAGTAAAGCAATCTCCGTGTGCCACTGCTCGTTCTTAAAACAAAAGATGCGAATTGAGAGACAACTAGCCATGCTGTAACATATATCGAGACATTCAATTCCAAGCTCCACGTTAAAATATATTTGGGTGTTAAAACAAATCATGATCCTGAGGAATCATTATCTCCAAAACAGATACTATATATACCAGTTCTCTCAACACTTCTCAATCATCATTTCAAGCTGTGTCTTCACTGAGCGCTCTCTGGAGAAACGACTTCGAAGTTCCGCTGGAGATTTCGATTTCCTGCTTTAGTACGACGCTTGGATTTTCCTACCAGTGAGTGAGATGATCTACTGTCTTCGGATTCAAGTTCTTGCAAGCTTCACTTCTCGCATATGTGGTGTAACTTTTTCGAAGTGTTCAGATTCATCTTCAGCAGATCAGACCTGCATTACATTGCGTTGCACACTCTGTTCTATCTTCGCAAACGGGAACACAGATTTCTTCAAACGCGTCAGAGAAGACATAGCACTTGAACCCCGGATTGTATTCAACACTTGGGACTGCTTATGTTGAATTTGGTGAACGAACTCCTGGGCTCACTCCATCGGAGATTCCAATTAACGAATTTCTCTGTGCGTGTCTTGCTTTGAACAGGATCAGCCAATGGCTACCAAAATGATGTTTACCGTGTTTGCGAGCATCTTCGTCGTGTTCGCTCTCACGGTGGTGGTCGTATCGGGAGAGGAGGACGTGCATGTGAGCTGTAACGCAAACGAGAACGGTGCCTCCAAAATGGACGCCAGCATTCTCGTCGATATCACCCGTGTTCTCACTAACGAAGTTCTTCCTGACGCTTATCTCTGTGGTCCTCGACTTGCTGGCCCTATGAACTGTGCTGAGATTTACAGTCGAGGCACCGCTCAGATCAGGGTGTGCTCTAGGGGACATCATCTCCCCTGCAACGAAGCCGGGGAATACCTGAATCGAGTTCTGGCCCAATGTGTTACCGAGGGTGCCAATGGCCAAGATGTCGTCGAAGGTGAAGTGACCATCGACAGGAATGATTGGCTCAAGGAAATCACTTATTATATCGAGAGGAAATCCTGTCCTTCTAGCGGGGCGTTCTCTTCGTGAATTTGAGAGCTTTGTCCCTACCGGGTTAACTCCTTCTACACTTGTCATAAAACGAGACTTCGTTTCCAAAGGTCATTTGTAGATTATGTCAACCGATGGCTTGGTATTCTGCTCAGCCGACTGGAATAGTATAGACCGGTCCATAGTGTCTCGGCTAGAAAAGCATCCGAACTCGGGTTCGCCTTGCATATCTAGTAGTAAGAGATGTTCTTCAGCTGTGTTGTGTTCTCAGGACGAGGCTTCTCCCGCCATCATTGTATGTTTACAAACTTTATAAAATACTTTTATATTATATCGAGTGTATATTATGCATGAATTTTCCTAGACAAATAGATGACGCTAAAATTTTGTATAGGTACAATTGCAGCTAAAGACCACGAGATTAATTTGTGCTTGCTGGACTGGTGCCGTATTGTTTCATTACTGTTTAATAAACCAGAATTTGGAGTCAAGGACGTCCGATCCCCACTATTGACATGCAATCCGGTCCGATCGTTGTGCAAGAACCTTCATCATCTGTAAGAGAAGAAGAACCTCGATGTTGTTCCTATGAAAATGACTTCTGAGGTTCCAAGAGAGCTTCAATCGAAAAGCTCGAAATCAATATCTCTAACCAGCAACTAACTCATGAAGACCAGTCCTGCGCATGATGACGAGCTAAACAAGATATGATATCTTAGCATCTTGTCTGAAATAGTTCTTTCATCTGGGTTCAAGACACAGTTCTGGTCAGAGCTCTATAACCAGAAATTCATCTAGCTCTTAGACAATGTCGGCACGCCACATATATTATCCAAAAGCCCAACTTTGGGTCAAAAGTACATCTTCCCACGTGCATACCGAACACGTTTCATGCACGTTCCTTGTCATGTGTTATAGTACGCGTTGAGAAGTATTCCCAGACGATGATTTCAGTCATATCCATTGCCGTACCACAGACATATTCCCGAACCATGCGATTCTGTACGTGCCTTCACTCTTGGTCAGATCCTGTTGTCAGATCCTCTTGGATACTGATCCATCTCACCTTATCGGGTGATGTCTGGCATCCATGCAGCGCCGACTGGAGAATGGAATATAGTCAAAGGTTCCGAAGTTGAAAACGGAACAGAATAAGCTCTAACTCTGAAAATCGTATTTGGCCCCAAAAACTTTTGGCTGATGCAGTCGAGGCTTCTAAGAGGACCATACAGTGTATTCTGGATTGCGATAGAAAATTGAAAAGCTGAAAGCTCTCTTATCTAAAGGCTTTGGTAGGCCGTGAGATTAGTGAGCATATGATAGAAAATCAAGTTCAAATCTTGTGAGAAAAGAATGGAACTTGGTGGCTTTCGAACCTCGATGTGTCAAGCATATCAGACGGTTGATAAAACACTTCCACAATAATACAGCTGGTCATCTGCAATTGACATCTGGATAAATTTCCACCCTAATTGGGCAACTGTTTATGATGTAATTTCTACAAAGATCTTGTAAAGGGGTGCGACGCCAGTAGTATTTGATTTTTCTTCGTTTTGTAAATACCCGTCGTCTAAAGCACGCTTTGATTCCTCTCTGAATGACACTAGAGGTTGTACAGGACTCCCTGTCTACTTTTCAGACCTCCTCGACGTCTTCCTCTCATGCTTACAATCTAGGTCGACGTTCTCCTCAGCTTGACACAAGATTGGGGTGGCCAATGCGTAATCACATCAGATTGGTTCACCATATACTACTTATGAGTTGAAGTGGCATCGCCAGTAGCAGCTGTGGTTCGTCCATGATTGACAAAGAACTTATATTCACTGTCTTACATGACGAGTCACTTTATGGCCAAGCAGAAGCACTTGCATTTCAAACTCAGCATCGCAAATTTCGACTTCTTTCAGAAATGTGAACCTCTCTTTGCGCGATGTTCAAAACACTTCAGCTCCAAGTCCCACCGTCAGCTCAGCAAAAGCTGGCCATCGACCGCGGCCTCACTGAGGTTGTGGAACTTATCATACTCTCTCGAGCGATTTTCCAAACTCGATCCGGAATTTCCTTGAATTCCCGTCGTATCAAGTCCCTAATTACATTGGACCATCGCGGTACAATTCGATATACGTCTATGGAAGTTCCGTATGCCTTATTAATCTGATCACCGATATATGTCAGCTAAATACTCCTCTTTGCGCGGTTGAGTTGTTTTGGCCGCGAATATCCAGGTATGATTTTAGTATCATAATGCATCTCCAGTACACGGATACCGATAGTCGAATGGTGAATTCTCAGACTGCTGTCTGACTGAGAATTGTGCTGAGATCCATTTGTATATGTCAAACATTTCCTTATCATTTCATGGTTCTAAGACACATGGCTTGGGTTCCAGATCGGGATGCACAAGATGAACGTGCCTTGATGGAAGCAATGAGTATGATACGCCCCCTCCAGCTCCATGCGATGCTGAGTTCTTACTGCTCATTAGTCGTGAGCTAACACATGTGGGTTTTTTATTCCTGCATTAGCAGCTGTGGTCCCACGAGCAGGCCCGCCCCCTTCCGATTGCTCCTTCTAGAGGTCACGTCATCAAATGCAGATAGCCTGACCTTCGTACTGAATCTTGTACCGGATGCTTTGGATCAGACATTTGTGAAGAAACGTGCAAGATGGCATGCAGTCGAGAATGATTGGAGGAAATGGGTCATGTTCTGGAATTTTATCACGTGCTTCTCATTTCTCTCTTTGGGCCTATCAGTCCGAGAACATCAGCCATGTCCTATTCTCCAGGAGAAAGGTGCTAGGCCGGTGAAGGACAGAAGCAGTTGAAAGGAACGAGATCGAAGCGATTTATTCATAGATTCGAGTTTGCGTTTTTTCTATAGGGATATGGGTCTAGAACTCTTTCCATCAAATCCCAAATTAACCCGATGAAAAACTGAATGCCAATCGATGTTCCGTCCTCACATTGCATTGCATTCAAGCACTCCGCGCGATCGACACAGCCAAGCGCCACCGTCTCAAACCCCAGTGAATGAAATTTGACATCACATATTTAAGATCCCAGAATCGAGACACCGTGTTTTCCCATAGATATGATACAAATTAGCTTAGAAAAGAAGAAAGAAGAGGCTCAAAGGTCTGAAAATCAGAAGGAGACGAAGATACGGCGATGTCAAGCCCGAACCCAGGAGAGATCTGAGGCTCCTGAAGCAAATGGAGGAACACGAAATTAACCTTGCGAGGAGTAACATAGTGTACAAATCAGATCCAGTTGCCATGACCAGTCGCATATATTTCTCAAATTGAATACTTATCGAAGTTAGAACGAGCTATTGGGGTCACAGTGTCAGACGATTACGATCTTGATGATGGAACGAGTGGGACCCCTCATATTCCACAAATGGAAGTGGCTGTGGCATTTGAGAACCCGTATAATATGTCAGAGCATCGACCAAACAAAAGCCCATGCAATATGGGAGCAGGTTCTGAAGCCGTCTGCCCATGCCCTGGTCAAGACGAAGGTCCTATGTATGACGCCGTCCTATCTATGGCAGTAAACAATAAACAAAGATTACTATTTGACTGTTTCTAGATTTTTCCCTGTTACTAAACTGCTCACGGTTGGTATATATCTCGGAGCTCTCCGGACTCATGCAACATCTGATCCTGCTTCCTCGTCCGACACTCACTGACCTGAGATCTGTCAAGTGTTCGAAGCCTAGACTCCCTCAAACTGAACGGAACTTCTACTCTTTTCGACGTGAGTATCTTGTTAGTTCAACCACTCAGCTTGTGAGCCGGGACATCGAAAGCAGCATAGAAGTTGTGTTTGAACTACAAACTGAGGATTAGAGAATGGTAGCTTCTCGTTTTATTCAGTGTGAGTGAGTAATGTTGCTGCAAGCCTCTGACTGAACTTCGTCTTACTTCTTCTTTCGGTACGTCCAACTTTGCGCAGAAATCAATCGATGTCGATCAGAATGACCTCTGCATTGCTCGCCAGCGTCTTCCTCTTGCTGGCTTCTACGATTACAGTCTCAGGACAGGGCGAGCCCCAGATCATCTGCCATACTCAAGGAGGACGGAGTCCCCTCGTGAGGGACGCGAGGACTCTCGTCGATGTTCTCCAAGTTCTGACTGTCGATGCGATTCCGGATCAGAGAGAGAGAAACATCTGCTGTCCACAATTTTGGGGACCCAAACAATGCTTTGACGTTCTGAGCCGAGATTCCACAACGATCAAGATCTGTGCGAGCGGAGGTTGCTTGGCTTGCAATGAAGTTGGCGAATATCTGAGCCAGGTCCTGGCCAAGTGCATTGTCAGTGTGAATGGACAGGATTATGTAGAGGGCCAGATCTTCTTGAACCCTGAGAGTCTGGTCAACCATACCTATTTGTATATCACGAGCAACAACTGCACAGCTTCTAACGGAGCTCTCTCCGCTTGAGACTAGGGAGCGGGTCCCTGTCTCTCGTCGTTCCATCGCGATCACTCCGCATCCATAGAGCTTCGAGCTACAGACCGTGATCCTTGACGCTCCCTCCATAGCAGCTGATGGTCTTTCTCCTTGCCAGTCGAGGTGCAGGGCCATTGGGGCGTAGTGTTCATACATAGTAATAAGTTGCAAGTTCAGACTCCGCTCTTCGAGCGTGCTAGAGCTCATAAGCACATCAGCAGAGACCTGCTGTACGTACTCTCTCCGCTACATAAACGGGAGTGGTGGTTTTCTCCCAGGCTGCGCCGAGCCTGTTGAACCATTGAAAACACCTGCACCTGAAATAGTGGCGTCAGTATTATGACCAACCATTTCATCAATCTCAAGATTGATCTTCAGCATATGGAAATGTAAGTTCAAATTTAACAGATCAGATTTTTAATGATTGTAAGTGACAATCGGTGATACAGTGCATGGATAGGAGAGATTCCTCCGACTCCCCTCAGGAAACACTAAAAGCTAAAACTAGCCCATGAAATGCCACTCTCTAATTCGAATGCAGACTGATTGCAAGCATTGTGAACGAATGTAAGCGAGATACGATTGAGTAATTAATAATCCAACTTCTCTAAGACGTGACTGGGTCATCATATGTAGTGTCTATCTAACAGCGAGTGACAAGTGACACATACTTCGAATGTGAAGCTCCTCACAGTGAGTTACATCCTCGCTCTCTTCTCTTCAAGATCCGAGGAGGTCCAGAACTGTGTATCAATATAGGCCAGGATTATGAAATAGAAGGCAACTTTTTGAGATAACATCCTCTTCCTGGAGAAGCCCGTGGAGGCGTAGGCGAAATTCTCGATCTCTCAATGCTATCGTTTCCTCGGTGTAAGCCACTACCCATACTTCCTTGTCCTTGTTGCTAACACTTAACAGTGTACAAAGTAATACTTCTCTTCTATCAAACTAAAATGCTCTATAAACGAAACAAGAACATTAGATAATCTAACCATAATGCATATCTACCTCGATAGTGTTTGAAAGAAATTAAAAAAATATTGCACCGTATTTGAATGAAAGGAACTTACATTTCATTTTGTTACATTTATTGTTACAAATGTCTACATATATTTTCAAAAATTAAGTGTAAATTAGCATAATTCTGGTAATTTTGACTTGAAACAACAATAATCTTGAACATTGATATATTATATTTAGTGAATCCAAAAATTTGCAATCTTCTAATCTTCAATATTAGAATTTATGATATCTTCTTTGCAGCAAGCAATTAGATTTTCTGGCACAAAAAATAGATCTGACTTCGATTACAACGCATATTAGCGTTAATCCATATGATCTACACACCTTCACATGTCAATTAAACATCCCTAATAATATCATGTTGAAATGTCCCATTTTTACTCAGATGAGACATATCAATATATCTTTCATGTAAGATTAAACCTAGAACTAAAATTCATTTTACAAAATAAGTATCACTTTTAGCTCGTTTTAATTTACAACTATACCTATACATGTAAAATGTGGAATGAATATTGAAGACAGGATTTGCTTTGGACTTCCTAAGATTGTGGACAAAGTCAAGGGACCTCAAGTAGGTTACGAAATACTGTCAAGATGTCTGTGAGGCTTCACGACAAATTCGATCATCAGCGTGCGTTTCATGCATAGTGTACAAATACGTTATTCCAAACAAGCGCAGAAAATGAAATGCCAATAAAACTGTCATTGACGAAAGCCGTCACTTGAAGCAGCTGCTTCAATGGTGTAATGGTAATGTTGACAGCAATCTCACAATGTAGGATATCGAACGATTATCAGCTGTTAATGTGTGTTCACCTGCTCCCATATTGATTCAAAACTAGCAGGTAAAGTCAGGTACTACCGTCACCTGCAGGTGGAAGAACCTGTACCACTGTTATTGATTCTAAGTGATTACCCTTGAGGGTAACCACTTCCGAGCTCTAGGAGAAGCTAAGTTCTACGCTTTCATCTACATGCTCGAAAGTGTTACAACGTTACAATGAAAGACTCAACGGGAACTTCCCATCATTTCCAAAAACCTGATCCTACGTTGACAATGAATTATATGATACAATCTAATCTGGTAGCTTCTGCGCACCAAACAATTTTGAGAAGAATATGCCCATTGATGTGCTGCCTAAAGTAGTATAACCTAAAATGGGGTTTTACAGAGCGGGCATGTAGATTGATGTGAGGTGGAAAACCACTTGTAAAGACAGGCGGAATGGAACTTATTTCTGCAAGTTTTGCACGCCAACTTTGGGAGACTATGATTCGATGTGTGAATGATGCTGTAGCAGATGGGGCAAGGTTCCACTCCCTCAAATTCACGGTCCACATTCCGCTTCCACATTTGAACCGCCTCCGAGACAGCTCCATTCTGCACAACGTTCGTCGATAAGTACATTCACGACTACTGTACACGCAACATTGACTACAACTCAATATGAAACCCAACATACCTGATTACGCAAGAATGAAGCCATGGACAGTATCCACTTGCGAAGTAGATGCTCATCAATTCCCATCCGCCTCGTACACTCAACACCAACAGCCCGTAATGGATAACACGGAGGCATCTTGATCACGATGTCCATGCCCGCTTCCTCTTTCTTGTAGATTGCAGTAACCTCCCTTGAGCTACGATTAGCTCTTATCGAAAATTCATCTTCGTCCAAGGCTGCACCCTGAGGTCGAGACGTTGATGCCTGCACCTGCTCATAAAAAATACAGGGTTCACCAGATCGGCATCACCGTTAGAAGAACAATGTATATTCGACTTAACTGCAGTGTCCTAACCATGGAATATCTACCACCGTATGCTTATTCACTTGATGCTAATTGTTCTCCTGGTAGTATGTGTTCTGACGTACAATCTCGTCTTCAAACGGCAATATCGATAACACTCAATTTCATGATGTTATTTACAAAAGCGATAGATGTTATTCTTAGTATCTAAATCAAATATTCTTTCTACTTGCGAAAAAAAAGTTTGTAATGAATGAAAATTAGGTCGTGACTTTTACTATAATTGACAACTAATGTACGCAATTATTTATTGACATCAACCACTTTAAAGAGTCTGGCTTAAGTTTGAACTGTGAACTTTGTATATTGTGGCTTCTGAGTAATTCAGCAAAATTCAGTTCTGATTACACGTCCACACGGAGACGTGTATTCAGAACTCATGCAGATGCTTGGTCAGACTGCATTCGGCTGCAAGTACCTGTGCAAACTCGTCGGATAAAAGTTGAGGACTGCAATACGTTGTTGTAAATATTTCGATGGCAGAAGCCATAGCCTTATCCCGTAAACCAGTGAACCAGATCCGAACGCATGCAGGCAAGACGAGGAGCATCAAGCCATAAATTGCCCCAGCCAAAGTGACCAGGCCCTCCTTTTGAACTGGCCACAGCCCTTCTACAGCGAAGGCAACAGATCCAGTGGCGGCAGCTCTTGTCGCGGCAGCAGCAGCACTGCTAGTCTTCGTTGCAGCTCCTAAGTGTTTTCTCCGTGACCCGGGACCCCCAACATTCTGATCCAGAGGAATGTGCTGAAATAGACAATCAAGCAGTGTAGCAGATATATCTGAATCTTGCACATACTGCACTAGCCTCTCTCTTGTCGATGATGATGCGGCCAGCGATGGTAGCCGCGTCAAAAACAACGACCAACCAAGTAAATAGCGTACCTTCAGGCAAAAGAAGCACAACATATTGTGAACTGGTAAGTATAATGAAAGGAGAAATTTTCTCTGTCAGATCCCAGCTGTTAATACATCAATCGAAATTATAAGGTGTTTTCGTTTCCCATTTTAATCACAGCCTTTTAACCTTGTTTCGCTACAATATATAGAAGGCGTCAGCTTGCCCAAGTTACAGCGCATGTTTGGAAAATGTACTACTTACAGCTGAACTTCAAGACCAATATTCCTGAACCCTTGGGCGATAAATTCACGATGTAGTCAAAATTAGTAGATACGGCAAGACAGATTGTGGACAGAGCTAGCTGAGTCAGGAGGTAGGTACCCTTAATGGTGACGTGAGTGGCTGGACAAGAATCGCGGAAGGACTTGCGCCGATAACACTTGAAAGCTCGGGCCTGATCTGAGCTACTGTAGACGTAAGAGCTTCCTGAGATTCGTCTCCGGCGACATCTTCCTCACCTTTTACGTCACCCTCTCCTGAACTGACAACACCGCAAGTAATGGCCATCTGTAAAACTTGACCAGAGGTCAGGAAGTTGTAAGCGACCCATTGTAGAGACATCGTTGGCTGTGGAGAAAAGAGTAGGGCGTAGAGTGCACTGATAGCACCGGTTCCCACTCCCCATAAGTCAACAGCGCGTATAGATGCTTCTCGAGCCTGGTTAGAAGCACTGAGGGCAACGTCCGCCACATTGTCCCATAATTGACCCTGCAACTTTCTCCATGAAGCTATGACACTCCTTGCTTTTTCTCCCACTTCAGAATTCGCTGCAGCTGATTCTGCTAAACCTATTGCTAATAGGAGTCTCAACACATCCTCCAAAGCCCGCATTTCTATGTTTTTCCAATTAGCGGTCTGCATGTGAGTTATGGCATCAGTTGATTCCGCTCCCTCGAGATGCTCTAGACCCCTCAGAAGGGAAAACACAGATACAGCCGTGCTCGAAAGTTCGGTCGAAACTATATCCTTCTCACTAACAAGATTTTCAAGCCCTACCACAGCCAGGTCATTTTGTAACTCCATTTTTGAACTCTCAGCTGTCTCCTTGACTATATGAACAACATTTTCGGCGAACTCTTCTGCATCCACAACGGCTTCTTCCATCCAAGTACGCAAACGGCCTAAAACAAACTCCCACTCTTCAACTCCAAAACTAAGCCAGCAGTAAGCGATAGCTGCAGCCACGAGCTTAGCTAGATTGCCTTCAACAACCTGCTTCCGTTTCTTATCAAAAACTCCTTGATCAGGAGCATTGCGACGAATTGCTGCTGAACCAGCGACAGCTGCGATAGCCTCGCGAGAAAACTGCTTCTGAAGAAGTGATAAAAGCAATGCCTTCTCTTCCGGGGACACCTGCATTGCAAAAGCTGATGCCATAGCAGATACGCCTCCCGCGGCATTTTGTGGAAAACACGCTACCGCTACTCGGATCCACATAACACCTGCGAAAAGAATGAAACCTACTTTTTACGGGAAACGCTTTTGGTTTCTAGTAATATGCAAACAAACTGCACAACTATGTAGCAGAATTCAAAACTCTCCGATCCTAACCCTTTGAAGCAACCTGTAGAATTGCGTCCGAGGACATCACCTCGTGATCTACCTTAAAACTAATTTGTACAATATGTAACCAACACCACAAGACAAAATTCAAAGATAATGCACCTGAATATTTCGAATATTCGTCACAAGCAACTAAAGGTGTAGCAGACATGGCTAGCAACAACCACTCGGAAACAGCAGTTTTAAGTAGTGAATGCCATTCTTCCTCGACGCTGCTGTCTATTTTCTCGACACTGCCGGGCTTTCTGCGAAGGGTAGGCATCAAAACAGACAAAACAGAGGGCAAAATACGAATGTCACATATTGGTGAAACAAATGTAACAACATCTTGGTTGGTGACAAACTGGCGAAAGAGGAGCCTGGTATCAGCCTTGCTCCATCCATCTTCCATCTCCAGGAGTCCTTTCAACAGTTTCAACAAGGCTCGTAAAAATGGTTCATCCATGCTCTTCTTGTCGTCTTCAAATCCCGTGAAAGATCGATTCTCAGATGAAGAGTCACGATTGCAGGCATTTGAGGCGCCAACAAAGAGGGTTTCGATCACGTTCCAAAGAAGATGAAAATCTGTGCTCTCTCTCTTTGTTCTTGAAAGAGAACATAAAAGAGGAATAACAGATTGCGAAGCAGTTCCCCCAGGCCATTCCCAAGTGCAAAGAAGCTCCACGACCAGCCAAGTCCGGCACGACTGGCTGCATAATTCCAAGTCTATGATAGACTTCGTTTCATCCTGATTTACTTCTGGGTCTGGAGGCGCACTCGATCCTAAATAAACTTCCCGTGGACTCAAAGTTCGACACAGAAGATCTACAAAGGAAGCAAACCGTTCATGTCTTCGTGTCTGCAGGTCCACAAACGTAGAAAAATTAGCTGCAATATAAAGAGCATCGAAAGCATCTTATGGCTGACAGAAAAACTTTACCTTGAAATACAACAATGACACAAAGTATGAAGCTGATAGTTTACATGGACAGCCGTTTGTCATCTTAACACTTCATAGCAACTATTGCAGTTCATTCTTTAGGTTACAACTTGAGTGATGTGCTAAAAGTATTACGCAGGTAGGCTTGAATAGAGTCCAGCCTATCTGCGTGTTCAAGCTGTCACGTTTTTTGAGAAATTGTCTTGATGTGAAACCGAAAATTAAGGTTGTTACTAACCTGAGAGTCCTGTAACTCGTGAGGCACCTTGCGAGCAACCAAATTCTGTCCCGGCTTTATCTGCAGTAGTGAAGGCACATCCACCCACTGGGGCCAACAATCACCCGAAGCAAGCAGCATGTCCAAGGCATCAGACACTTCTCCTGGACCCTCGCACGTAAACGTGACTACTTCTTTCGCCCAAGCTGCGACTTTGACCGCTACTCGATGGGGCGTCTCAAAATTTGCATCAAAAACGGCATCCCTGAGACAATGAATCAAGATCTGACGAACTCGGAACCTCGTCAGGGGACTGAAGCTCTTACAGAAAAGAGGAGACAATTCAAGTCGCATGTCTCTTACGGACTCCATCAAATCTATCCACTCTTGTTGTAGCTCACCGGAAGTTTCATCAGGAACCGGTCCTGGAACTTCATCTAAGATATTGACAGGACTCCGCTGCACAATTTCCTCATCTAAAAGGAAACCATCCTCAGACCCTTCATCCTCTTCACTATCCACCTCAGAGTCAGAATCATTGCCAGACAAAGGTGTATCAGCCAACTTTGGGCATCCCCAACGTAGACAGAACAAAGCAGCCACCAGCTTTCCACTTACGGTCGAATCTCTGTCCAGAGATCGAAGACATTGAAGACCTTCACGAACAACGCGAACTGCAGTTGCAGCTAATTCTAACACTTCTTCCGTACGATTCTGATCGACAGAAAACGTCAGAAGTTCACTGTCTTGACTGTCCACAAATCGAGAAGGTACAGACTTTACCCAAAGGCTATCTGATAAAGCTAGTACCGAGAGAATACGCATCAGAAGTATCTGCAAGATCTGCTTCGCAGCGTTGTCTGAGACGATCAATGTGACAGACTGACAATTGCTACCAGGTGTCTCGATCTGTACAGTAGCCTTGTTGAAGGCGGTGGATGGAACCCTGGCATCAGACCTCATGCCTCCCAAAACGCTCCTGAAAAGGATAAACCCAACATCATATAAGGAAAAAGTGTATATGTTAGAACGGAAATCAACCCATTGAAAGTAGGGTAGCGTTCGGTTATCTCGGTGACACTATTCAAAATTACGTAAAAAGGTGTACTCCCAACTTACCTCACAAGGCGGTAGCAAGCAGGATGCGAAAGTTGATCACTGGAGGCCACACGTAAAGCTGCATTATCTATTCTAGGAGACTTCCACCACTCCGATAGGGTATCCTTCTCTCCGCCAACTACACCTTGGTTTCTTGAAGTCACACCTCCAATCTCACTTACTTTCTCCAATAACGTTGATAAAACTCCAACTGACTTCAGATCCACGCTTTTTTCAGTGTCGCCCAGGCCCCCAGTTACGTGAGCGACGACAAAGTCCCACTCCTCTTGGAATTTAGGGCTCTGTATAAAAGCTAGTACTAATTCAGCTTTCGCTTCACTTAGTTCGTCGTCGCCATCTAGGCACCATGGTACAATTCCTTCCTTGAAATATTGCAGCATACGCTCATGATCCTTGAAGTCCTGGTCTCTGACTTCAGACTCTAGTTCTTTAGTTGAAGAAATACCAAGCTCATTAAATATTGTAGGACCGTAAATAGAAGTCAACTTTGCAAGAAGTCTGATAGACTCAGGATCACCCTGCGTACGAAAGCATCAAACATGATCTTTGAGTTCAAGACCTGAACAGAAACCCGAGTCAAGCTTGTGGTCTCCCAAGCTGAAGTGAGGCCAAACTAATATCTTCTATCTGGGCCAAGGTTTCCACGTTTAGTGCACATGCCATTCCACTGAAATCATCAGTTGTAAAACGTCCCTCGAGCTATCGAAGAGAAGCTGGTAAGTTATTCTTAAACTGAGAGGCGGAGCTGATCGATGAGAACCAATTGCACCTATTAGGAGCTAAAGATACTTGAAAAAATCCAGGCCAAGACAATATCGACAGCAAATGCCTCTGCATTGAAAGACAAAAAAAATTACCAGAATCTTGATGTTCGGGAAGGCTTTGCAAACGAAAGGTCTCACTGCACTTGTCAACACCCATCTATTCACAGTCCCATTTTTTGAAGTCTTAATGCCCAGCACAACAAAAAACTCAGCAATATGCAATAAGCGCCTATCATTTTCCCGGGAGGACTGCCAACGGCGCCCGGCCTCTTCAACAATCTTAAGACAGATGTCCTGGAACTCAGTCCAAAAGGAAGCCAATAGTTCATGTTCAGATAAAGACTGGATGATGTCGACAATGCATGAACAGAGATCTTTGCTGAAATCCTCATTTGTGATTGCTGACTTGCTAGATAAACTTTCGGCTCCACTGCCTTCAGCCGCTGTTCTTGATAGGTGAGTCTGGCTAGATTCTGTAGAATCAACAGGGGCTTCGTGAGAGGTGACCATCGGAGTGGAGGTCACTGGTACGGCATGGCTGGTAGATGTCCCAATGTAATCACACCACAACAACTTCAGAAGAACTCCGTCGATTAGTGCGACTTGAAGATCAGAAACATTAGATCCTTCTGCATCCGCGAACCTGTACAAACAAAGATAACGAGGGAGGGTTTTGCTCCTTCCTTAGCTACTCTCTGAAATACGCATGCACATAGAATATACAGCGATCGATTTGAAGAAAGTTGAGCTCTTTCCACTACAAGACGAGGCCTCACCTTTTGGCGTTCTTTACTGCCCATATGAGGCATTCTTGCAGGGCTTTCAAATGAGCAGACCAATAAGTTGACCCCAGCTGAGGACCAGGTCGCCCGCGCCAAAAGCTGCTTAAAAATTCAAGAATGAAAGCTTGACTGGGAATAACATGTTCAGGAGGTATCAACGATAGGAAGGGTAGCAAAGAGGGGTAGGAAAGTAGTTCTGAACCATAGCAACTATGCCGCAAGTAACCAAATAACCTGGGAAATACAACCTTCTTTACCGAACTAACACCCCAGGCTTGTGGAAAATTCCGGGCAAATAAAAGAATCATATCCCACATAGGTTGATGACAACCAGTATCTTTCTCTGAAAACGTCCCTAGGATTGAAGGTACAACCGATTCCATGTCACTATCTTTGAATACTTCAGGTATATGCTGAATATATGCCCTTAACGCCTGATAAGCAGCCGAACGAATGCGTGAACTCTTAGACTTCAAGTAATCACGAATGTACTTGTGATTCCAACAAAGTTTTGTTGCTGCCTCTGTTACTAAGACCCGTGTCTTTGCTGCCACATCCACATCGACAGGGCTGTCCAAACGGCCTGGTCCAGTTTTGAGTGATCCCACAAGGACGTCAATTATGGCGGCCATAGCAAGCAGAGAACATGAAACGACCTGCACAGAAAGAAAAAATACTTGTTTATACCAGCATCTGTCCAAACCCCAAAACACAATAAACGGAGTGGATGGACGCACATGTTGATATGCCTTCATCAACATCTTCCATTAAACGAAACAGTCGTCAAGGTGATACACAAGTTACCCGATAGCCCAGAAGCAAGAACAAATGAGAAACAAAACAGCCACAGATGACGATGACACGCATTCCGACGCATTCCACGTAAGTTCCATAAATTACTAGCGATAATTCAAATATTTACCCGTTCATGTTTCTCAGTTGCTTCTTCAATGGGTGTTGCCTTGTCAGAGATAGTTTGTGGAGTGCTTTTCAAATTTTCATCGAGATGAATAAAAATCTCATTCGCACAGTAGATAAGAGCTTCCAGCCGCTTCTTCTGTCCAATGAAAGCAGTCTGAAAAATAAAACAATAGATCCAAACTTTGATCAAAAATCCCATCAAGCTTAATGACAGCATTTTCAATCGAAAATTCCATCATGATTATTGTTTTGACCACAAAACTACCACGTTCACAGACGCTGACAGCGGGTACCGCCTCTTGTACACCTGATAACCCTAATGGCAATCACATATCCAAGCAGTGAGCGCACCTGGAAAGAGCATTTCGCAGCTTCTGAAACTTCTCGAGAAGGATCAAACTGTGCAACCCACCATGGTCCCATTAAAGATCGCAGATGTGGAGCAATCCCTCGTCTGCACATCAATTAATTGAAGAGTTGAACACAATGAGAATTGCGGAAAACTGTCTGAAGCCCAGGAGACTGTCCATATCAACATTGCAGACATTGAGGGGAACAAAAACCATTCTACATTTAACCTCAACACTGGTAGTCCAAATACTTGCTGAAAGTAATTTACGCGAAAGGAGAACGTACCCGACGGAGTTTACGAGAGCTGTCATGGCAATGTGAGAACTTTCCCTGACCTGACGACTACTATCTTGAACGAGTCTTTTATACTCGAATACCTGACACATATTACATAGTCTCATATTAGAGACGCAGACTTATCGATTAAAGCTTCCCTGCATCCAACTATGTGGAAAGATTCTCCAGTAACCCATCTACTTTGAGTCTTACAGACTAAGAGCAAAAACTCGTCCCTGCTTCTACAGCACTGCTAAGAGGTTTTAAAAGAGAAACTCACCCAAGAAGGTAAAAGTGTAGAGAGCTCAGCAGCAGGGCGGTCTTTAAAAAGGGCTGTAAGAGCTGCCAAAGCTTTCATCTGCAATAAGTCACCAGATTGTTACATCGAGACCTTAGCAATCCGACAACGGTAGCATTTTCTTGCGCACGAACTACTAAGTCAATAGTTTTCCCAACTGCTCCTTTCATACATAAAGAGCGAAACATGGGTACCTTGGTGGTCGAATCCTTTTTCGACAACCTTTTAAGATGCAGAGACGCTTCCCCGTCCACATCCTGACACAAATCACACGACATATGATCTATCCATAAGAACTGGACAAGTCGATGCAAATTATCACTTGTGACACCTGCAACTTTCAGACCTATCAGGTCTCTTCCAATATGTACATAGCGAGACCGAGTACACTTCTACTCGGAACAGGCCTTGGGGGCTGTAATTGAGATGAAAAGGTTGTGCATGACATTGAGGGCCGTGATGTAAGCCGTGGATCCCACGTTGGTTAGAACAAATGCCAACGAATCCCAGGGGGAAGTATTAACGTATGTGAATGAAGCTTGAACCAAGAGAATCCAACAGAGCTCAAGTCGACGAACAGCATCAGTAATGAATCGTGCATGACGAACGGCGAAAGCAATAAAGCCGAGACCTCAGCTAGCGGTGGGGGGGGGGCGCTAATTGAAAGGTACCGATAGGGTAGTAAAGAAGGGAAATGCTAGCATAGATCATGTACATGCTGAATAGGAATGCAGAGACTGTAATGAGGTCCCTTCACGTAGTTTATATATGAAATCCGCTTCACCAAAATTCAAAATACATACTGAAATTACATGCAATTATCTTCAGCCTTGAAACTCTTATTATGAACGACTCTGGCATATTGACGATCACCATGCATTCTTTATCAGACTTTGAAAACGATTGACTAGTGCGACGTGAACTCAAGAAAGCAATTGGCATTACCGTAAGAAGTTCCCCATCAGGAGAAGGCCCTGTTTCAACTCGAGCACTTCCTACATAACCTCCAAATCCAACAGCAGATGCAACTGGTGTCTGAAGAAGAGATGCCGCGAAGCTGCAATGCAGAAAGAGACGTTTAAAAGGACGGGTCTCCGCAGCTGTTTTCGATTCAAATGCATGCTCTTTCATGCTGTTCTTAGAACAAAACAACAATTCTGAACTGCGTACTAGAAAGTATCTGTTCCGAAAGCTATGGACGTAGCAATTTACATGGATAATTCATTATATCAGAAGTTTATTTGATTTCTAATGACCAAATCGTACCTGCTACTAGAAGGCCGGGCCTTGCTTCGAGCAGGATCGCCCTTATTGCGCCCCATTGGATCTTCAATTCGAATTGCACAATGAGCAGGACAGATATCCAATTCACTTGATGATCAGGCTAATTTGAATCTCAACCCCTCCAGCAGACTGATCTTCAGCTGGAATTGGTAAACTGCCCCACTGCCCTTCGACCATTAGATGCGACACGACTAGAGGCACATGAAATTCTGTCACCTTCAACTTTGACACCACTACACAAGTGCCTCACGGCACTTCTGACCTCTGCGACAGTCTCGCAAGGCATTTTCACTTTTCATGATTCAACAGAGCAAACCCTCAAACTGGGAAGATGACACATGCAATTTTACATTCTTTTCATTTCATGGATTTCTTACGTCCAACGCATAGGATCAGTCATTAATCTCGCACGGGTCCATCATCGTGCAATCCAGAACACGGCAAAAGAACCGTGTCCTTGAAGCCGTACAATTATCTGTGAATCCGTGAATATTCCGTAAATTCCCGAGCCCTTCCACATTTCGTCCTTCGTTGGTGCGTCAAAGCGTGTAGGATTAGGGTTCTGCCTGTATTCGAGAGTGAGTCTTACGACAGACCAGCTCCGAATTCTGGACAAGGTTAACGTCTTAAACTATCACCCAGGGAAGCTCCCAAAAGTCCATGACAGATTTCAGGAATGTGAATACTTGCTCTTTCGGCATACTACGAGAAAAGAACGTCTGGCGGCCATGAAGTGAGATGATGCTCTGAGAGAAAAGCACATGGCACTGCAAGTTCTTAAAATCGCGTCTTTATTCGAAAACTCCTACCTAGGTTTTTGCACATGGCCGTTCTCTGATGTATCGACGTACTCTAGACTTGTATACCAACTAATTCGGTACCTACATTTCTCTCGCAACCATGTGTCTTATCAATACTCAGCAAACTAACAACAAAACTTAATAAACATCATCAATATATCACAGCGCTTTCAAAAGATATGGCATAACAAAAAAGACTCCCTTGGTAGCTACGTAGGCAAAAGTAATACCCTTCTTAACACTATCTAGAATAATAAAAATTTCTTCGTTAAAAAAAAATACCCAAAAATACAAAACGTAAAAGAATGTTTTTTTAAGATTATGAAAGTTTTCCATTTTTTCTTAATAATCAAATATTTTATGAAGCTTTTTCTTGATCTCCGCATAGGAGAATGACAGTTTTTTAGCACATAAAATTACTACAATTATCAATTAAATGTATCTTGTGACTCAAATTATATGTGTCAACAGATTTATCATAGATTAAACATTTGAAACTTACCGAATTTCTGTTTTCGTAATATATATACATATAAGAATATTATCTCTAGAACATGTAAATACATCTAACATGGGTAAGGAAAAAATATCATGATATGTGTAAATATCAAATCTTTTGTAAAAAAATTTAGAAACATACAAATGTCAAGAATATGATCATATTGTTGAGAATGTTAACATGTTAACAAACTGTCATGGAAATTGCTCGTGAACTTCAGTTCACCATTGTGGTACAACTATTAGTAAATAATTTTTCAAAAAATATATATTTATTTTGTATAAATATTTGTTAACAAATAAAAATACATAGCAATACTTATAAAACTTATTAACACTTAGTGTACTCTTAGTTCAATGCTTATTTTTTTTAAACTGCAATATTCAACTTTATGTGTACAAGTGTGTGTATGAGTTTATGCGTTCTGTCAATTTTTTGTCTATACATGACAAGTTGGAATATTATGATTTTGAAATATGAAGATTCTTGACATTTTTGAGGATTTAATGTGATGAAAGAAAAATCTATAACTTGAATTTACAATTGATTTCAAGAGTTCTCGTACATATAAAGTACCACAAATGTACCTTTCGAGTCTTACAAGTATGTATAATTTGAATTCATTTCATGAATGATCAATTGAATTATAAATCATATGTTATTTTATGCGTTGTTCTAAATCTACATGATATTTATAGAATACTAACCATTAATTTATTATTTGAACAACATCAATTTATTATTAAAACGAAATTTAATTAATTTTTTCACATTTCAGATATATCATATGGTAAAAATCAATATATAAAATGATTAATAATAACAATTTATTTTGATAATTTTTTGTAAATTCAGAAAAAAATACGAATTAAAATTTATATGAAATAGTTGAAATGCCATAAAATATATAATTTTTTTATCACCACATGACACCAAAGTTTACTTCTTGAAGATAATAAGACATCATAAATTGATCAGGAATAGTCAAATGATATATACTAGATTGATAATCAACCCCAGTAGACAATAATAAATGCCACAATCAAAATTAACTTGTATCTACCTTTAATTTTGTAACCAGTCAGTTATGCATGCGGTATGAATAAAAAACACTTTATAGATTAAAATTGTGTACTGAATGTTGAGATTCTACTGTGAGATCTATTACTTACAAAATATATGACAAAATTTCTTAATAATCATTATGTTGCCGTTTCTTTTATCTTCCAGTGAACAGAAATTCATATCAAAATATTAGATATATAGAATCTTTACGAATATCAAAATACTAAAGTAAGCAAATACAATATCTAATTTAATAAAATAATGCTTTTATATTTCTTATATCGTATCATCTGTCAGATTTTATCCTAAACATGTAAATAATTTAGCCTCATCATAGATCCAATTTTTAAATTGGATCAATCTAATCATCTATTTTCAATGGCCTTAGAGTATTGTATTTATGGTTTGACACATTTTTTCAAAAATATAAGAGTTGGATTATAAGTATTGCATTGTTCAAGACATATAGTTTTTGATCATTTAAGTTGAAGATCTCAACTGTTGGTGTATTTCAAAAAAAAATTAATAAGACGTAAATAAAATTTTTTAATACAATGCATTATTGAAGATAAGCAAAGATGACTTATTTTTCTAATATAGTAAGGATATTTGTTACATGAAAAATCAGACTGTCTAAATGAAATTCTAAGTAATAATTTCAACCTATTAAGAAGCTTTTGGTTTCTTCAAAATTCATCAATTAGTTAGTAAGTTGACTACTAGAATTGAGAGATGGTTCAACAAACGTTTAGAAGTATACTTTGATATGAATGGTAGAACATAAGCTTCTCACAAGACGGGGGTAGCTTTTGTAACTGATCTTTTTTTGCCTTATGCTAGGAGTATTGTAGATAAGCCCCAATCCTAGCTTTATCTTCAAGTATCTACGTTACGCTTGATTGCTCTAAAGTAATTCTGAAAGATGCATCTCTCCAACAGCTGGTTTCACCTAAGTATTGGCTTGTGGTCTTGGACTCTAAACCTCAAATCATTTGAAGAGCATGTTAAAATTTACAAGCAAGTATACAATCCATGCGTTTAGATGTTTCTTAGATCCAAACGTGAAGAGGTAGTTGACGAAGAAGAATGTGCTTAAGGAAGATCGTATAACTTTTCAAAACATTACTTATTTGGAGAGATGAGCCAAAAATCAATTTTTGGTATAATCGTTTGTTTCAATTTTGTAGATCAAATTTTGATTGAAATATAAATCTGTGTATCTCAGGCATAATACATAATTCAACCATCTATTTGATCACAGAGAACTCTTAAACTATGTTTCCTTAGTCTTGAAGAGACCTTATAGTAATTTGACACGCAAGTGCACCTGAAGCAACACTAAAGCCTTAGATAGTTCAAGCAAATGGAAAACAACAACTATGCACTATTGAAATACTCAAGGATTGTTCTCATATGACCAGTGCATGGCTATATGTGAAACGAACTTGTCTCCGACAAGTTCAGAACTCATTGAATTAACGGCTAATCAGGAAAAATTTTGAAATACACAAGGAAGGAGGCTACCGTCAAAACATTCGCTCGTTGATGTTTTGAGGAAAGAATATTACGCTCTGTGAACCATGTTAGAATTACGCTGATTGTAATCAAGCTAACTGAATTATTAGTGAAGTGAAAGATTACATATAGTCAAGTGTATATTGTCTTCTAGTGTTGACTTATCCCTTATCAACACAACGGCTACATTTTTGATATACTGGTTTGTTTAGATCCTCACCTTTAGAATAAGATGATTGCTAAAATAAGACAACATACTAAACTATCTGATATATTGTACGCATCCTAACAGTACGTATAACTAACATACTTCCTCTAGAGTGCAAAAAGCAATTGTTGATATCAACATCAAACTCGTAAAAATTTGTTCAAAAAATGTTGAAACTGAGAGTCAAAAGCAAGGCAATTTTGGAGGGTCATGAGGTGTCACTATGATCAATGCTATGGAGATTTCTTCGCATGTTATTGCAACTACTTTGCGCACTTGTGGAGTCTTGTCAAATCTGAGAGGCAAGGACAAGGCAATTTTCAAGGGTCATGGGGAGTCATTATGTTGTATGTTATGAAGATTTCTTCGCATGTTATTTAAATTACTTGGCTTACTTGTGAAGGCCGACTAACGATGCATGGAAGCAGTGTGTTGCGAGCATTAAAAGAGAATTGAATCTCTATAACTTATTTCTGCAGAGGAGATGTTACTATGTCTTTAAAGCCTCAACATCTGCTCATGTTGGTCCCAATGTTATTGAGTACACCCTCATCAACTGGAATTTGTAGGTGACGATTTCAACAAATACTATGTCTTAGCTATTGAGAGACATCTTGGCGTTTACTTGAGTTGGCAAGAGGCTGCGGCTTAGTTAGTGGAGTACACAAGAAACCTACGCAAGGTCTTTAGAATTAGAAAAGAAGCCAAATTTTTCATTCAGATTAGGCGTTAGAATTGCTCAGTAGGAAGACAAGAGAATCATAAGTCATAGTTGACATACTACGGAGGCCTAAGAAATATTGTTGTTGATTGAACTTTGACTTTGGCAAGATTTTAATCAACAAGTTTGTTGACTGAATCTTCATTGACAAAAAACTGATTATAATGTTGCTTAGAGCAACTCTTTCCCTAATAAAATGATGTTGTATGCTTATATGTTTGTTGCATGCATGAAACACTAGATTCTTTGCGAATTTAATGGCACTTTTGTTGTCGCGATGACCATTGGAGATTTCTCAAGATGAATGTTAGAGTTGTCCATTGCGGATGTTAACTTGAGATCTTTACATGAAAGTGATGTAGGCGGTAGCATTGTTGGATTTATTTCTTTGACCACTTGGCAAAGCCAAATGGCCTTCTTAGCATCGAATGAAAGGGTCTTGTATTTGCTTCCAATAAAGTAAAGTGATACCAAAGCTTGCTTTTTGGGGCATCAAAAGATTGTCCAATTAGCAAGCATAAAAGCATAGGCTCCAGTGGATTTAAAAATATTTATGTAGGAGCACCAAATGACGTCGATGTATCCTTGTAATTGAATCGGAAAACCTTATTTAAGGAGCAAATCATGATCTAACGTACCTTTCAAATATTGTAAGGTATGAAATCCATCTCCAAAAGAGATTCTTGAGTCTTGATCATGAATCTAAAGAGTTGCTTAACAACAAGGCAAATGTCGAATCTTGTGTTTGTCGCAAAGAGCAGCTAATCCATCAATTTTTGATAGAATGTGGGATTGACATAAGGAGTACTTGTATTTTCAATCAAGTATTTTCTCACTTTAAAAGTAGTGCTAACAATCTGCAATCTTCCATTTTAGACGCCTTGAGAATCTTTAGAATAAAAGATTTTTGGTGCAAAAAAAGTCCTTCCTGACTTCTAACAAATTTGACTCCTAAATGACTTTTAATCTCTCCCAATTTGCTCATCTTGTATTTAGTCATAAATCAATCTTAATTTCAGAAATTGT